GCTCCTGATCTTGAAAATGTCAGTCTATGATAATGTGAAATATAAACATTGCTTTAAACACCCATACACACTGGATCACCAAGATCTTGTCACCAGAATTGTATTCCTGAATTTTTCCTGGGCATCACAAGCAAGGTCCTATCACACAATGTCCTATAAACACCATGAACTGAACACACACACACACACACACACACACACACACATACACATACACATGACTCATTTTTTCCATATGCCCACTACATACAAACTTCTCCTTCTGAATTCCAATTTATATTAATGTTTTCATATATCTAGTCTCTTGTAATAGTAATCTTTGTCCCTTGTAATAAAAACTTAGAAATTATTCTTGATTCTTTATTTGGATTTATCCAAAAGATCCAGAAAGTTCAAATTCTTTGATTTCTGCCTCTAAATAAGTTCTCTAGTCCCTCTCTTTTTCCCTCATCCACTCTAACCTAACCTATTAACTTTTTTCCTTGCCTCCATGCATTTACACTGCTCTCTTCAACTCTCCCACTATTGTTACTTTTCCAAAACTTCTATCTGCTCATACCCCTCATTTGCTTAATATTCTCTATTGGTTCCCTTTAGCCCATAGATCAATGTTTAAACTCCTAAGCAGATCATACAGGAACCATCATAAGCTGACCCCACTCACCTTTCCAGACCTAACCACCATCACTTCTGACACACCTCACCACCTGGTGCCCTCCACATACACACTGTCTTCCAGTCACACCAAAATACTTGTTGAACATGTCATATTTTTTTCACATCTTTGAACATATTGTTCTCAAGGCCTGGAAGGCCCTTATTTCATTTTTCTGTCAAAGACCTTCTAATCCTTCCAGACTTCCAGATGCTTTCTCTGTGAAGCCACTCCTTGATACCCCAGGCCAAGTTCAGTGTGAGCATAGCATCTTGTACATATTTTTATTACTTATTATTAGCTACTTATTTACATCCTTGCCTCTCCCATTAAACTATGAACATCCATAGAGCTAGTATCTGTTTATCTTTCTATTTCCAGTACAAAAAGTAGAAACTCAATAACTGTTTGATGGATGAATAAACTTCTAAGCAGCCTAAGATTTTTAAGCAGAAATTTATTAACTGATATAAATTACAACACATCTTAAATAGGAAAAAAGGTTTTCTTGGTTTTGTAGACTGAATGTCCTCCTATTTCTGTATTGTGTACGATGTATCAGATTTTCTTCCACTGCAGCTCCATCTTCTCCATTATTGAATGGTTTATAGAGGTCTTAGTGGGACACACTTGAAGAATCTTGATGCTGAAGCAGGACTTTAGACATTTGAAAGAGGTATAAGTTATACTATGATAATTATAAGGAGAGAGAGAAAGACACCAATGGTTGGGAAATTTGTAAACAACTAGATTTATGATATATTTGTGGACCTGGTAGAAAATGGGTATTAGTGGAGAGGGGCTCTTTAAATGGAATCCACAGGTTACCCATTTCCAATGTGAACCGCATGGGTTCCAGTTTGGAAGTGAGATGGAAAGGGCAAATATGGATTTGAGGAGGTGAGAACGTATAGAACTTATGGGGGCCTGTGTAGACCCAGTGTCATACTCAGAAGGAAGGTAGAGAGTGAGTTAGAGCTTTGAGGAAAAGCTGTGAGGAAACTTAGATCATTGTGAAGTATACTAGTTTATATAGTAAGTCCCCTACCTATGAACTTTGAAGTTGCAAACTTTCAAAGATGTGAACATACATTCACATGTCCAGTCATTTAAGTTAGTTCATGTGTCTGGCGTACATTGTCACATGCATGCATTCTTTACAAGTGGTTGTGCTTTTGTGTATTTTAGTATACAGTATTATATAGAGTACAGTAGTACAGTATCTTTATTTCAAGCCCAGGATGTCTGGAAGCAAATGTAAAAGCAGCAGTGATGTAGCTGTTACTGCTAAGAAGTACCAAGCAATGATGGAAACAAAAGTGAAAATAACTGAGAGAGGGAAGTGAGGCGAAAAGATGGTAGACATCGCTCATTTTTATAACATGAATCATTCAACCATCGGCATGATTCTAAAGAACAAGGACAAGGTCATGGAACATGTGAAGTCTGCTGTGCTGATGATGCTGACAATAATATTGAAGAATCGTGGAAAAGTGATGGAGGAGATGGAAAAACTTCTCCATCCTGTGGATGCAGGATCAGCATCAGCATTGAGTCCTGCTCAGCTTAATGCTGTTTCAAGAGAAAGCTAAAAGCCTTTATGAAGACTTGAAGAAGAAACACAGTGAAGTATCAGAGGGCACATCTTTTAATGCCAGCCATGGCTGGGTTCATCGATTCAAGGCTAGAGCCAACATTCACAACATAAAAGTAAGTGGCAAAAAAAAAAAAAAAAAA